CCCCCCCACCTCGACTTGGAAAGGAGAGGGGCTTCGCGTGTGCAGCCTCCAGCGGGGATGGTTGGGGGGCAGCAGGGTCCTGCTCTGGGGTTCTTAACCCCTCTGTGACCCCGGAGCCCACACCCTGCCATCATTTCCCTGGAGCTGAATAGGATTGGGGGCCAACTTCAGGAGGCTTTGGGGGCGTCGCTGACCCTTCACATCCGCGTCATAGCCGGGGCTCGGTTTCTGAGCTCCCCCACTCCGGGCCTGCCTGCACCCCCAGAGTGGGGAAGGGGGCGGGACTCACGTGTGAGTGACAGACGGGGACGAGCCTGAGGTGCTGGGGGCCAGGATCAACGCGCGCGCCTTTGTGTGGTGGCTGGGTGTGACCGGTGTGTGTGAGTGTGTGTGTGTGTGTGTGTCTGCAGGTGTTCAACTGTGAGTGAGTTGGGGTGTGATCGGGAGAGGGTATTGGTACGTGAGGTTGAGCCTGTGGGTGGCAGTGGGTTGCTGTGACCGAGGGGTTGGTGTGATGTGAGGCTTTGAGCCAGAGATGGCAGTTGTGTGTCTCGGTGTGACTGGTGGTGTGACACCCGCTGAGGACCGTGTTAATCCTGGAGGTGTTGGTGCAGCTGAAGGTGTGTGTGACAGCGTGCCCGTGCCTGTGCCCAAACGCCTGGGTGTTGTACAAAGGACGAGCGTGACCAGATGTCTGCTGGTGTCAGAGCCCTGAGGCGACCATGTGCCTTCCAGTGGCCCTGAGTGCACCGCTTGAGAAGGTGGGGCTGTGTGTGCAAAATCGTGTGCATCCGTGCCCTCGCGTGCGCGTGTGTTGGCTTCTCACACGCCCCGTCTGCGTGCTCAGAGAAGCCCGGCTGACTCCCTACAGCAACTCATGTTTTGGGCTGTCTTCAAAATGTAGAGGGTCCGAGATGTCTTCAGATACTGAGAAATCTTTCCTCCTCCATCTTGGGGGCGGGAATGTGCCCCCCAATTCCCACATCTGTAGACAGAAGCCGGGGTGGAAAATAATAAAACAGTAATGGTAGTAACCGCGAACATTCATTAAGTTCTTCTGATGTGCAGGGAGGCGTTTCAAGCTCACAGCGTGCACAAAAGCATCTAGTGTTGTTTGTGTCCTGACCGGTGGCTGCTGTTATTCTTCCTTACGAGATGGGAAAACCGAGGCACGGAAGAGTTGAGTGTCTTGCTCGAGCCCAGGCAGTCCACAAACTCACTTCCTGATAAATAATCCACTCTGTGGATGTGGAAAATGCCCGTGAGGAAGAGAAGGAATCAGAGGCTGTCTGCACTCCGTGGGGGCCATGGACGGTGGAGTCTAGGAAAGAGGGCTTCCTCGAGAAGGGGCTGTGGGGTCCACACCCTGGCGCTTCTTGAGCTCTCTCTGGCATCAGAATGTACACAGTAGGAATGCAGTTGATATAAGCGCTGGAGAGAAGCAGAGACAGACAGACAGACAGACAGACAGATAGACAGACAGGGACAAGAGACCAAAAGAGGCGCATGCCTGTAAAAATGCTGGACGCAAAAAAGGAATGAAGTTGAATTTGGTTTCGAAGAAAGATCCTTGGAATTCCTACTGGGGATCCCCCTAGATTTCCGGTCCTTGCCCCAAGGGTGGCTGGGGTGCCAGGCACTTGAGTGGGAGCCGCGATGTTGTGAGGCCGAGGCCGGCACCCGGGTCGGGAGGGAGTTGCTTGGGGGCGGGGCCATAGACGAAGCCACCCCGGAGACTGCCGTGGGCGGGGCTAATTGGAGCTCAGTGGGGGCGGGGCTAAGCAGCGCGTGGGCGGGGGGAGATGGGGGAAGTCGGTGGGGCGGGGAATGGGTGGCGGGGCCATAGACGAAGCCACCCCGGAGACTGCCGTGGGCGGGGCTAATTGGAGCTCAGTGGGGGCGGGGCTAAGCAGCGCGTGGGCGGGGTGAGATGGGGTAATTCGTTGGGGCGGGGCTAATGGAGTCCTGCCACTGGCAGCAGCGCCTACGGAAGACCACCAGGGGGCACCACATGGTGGTGAAACAACAGCCCCTGTTAAGGGCACCCGGCCTGGAGCCCCAGGCACTGGAAGGGTCTGGAGGGAAGACGCTCTGCCTCGCTCTGCTCCTCCCACGGGGTCCCGGAGACCCCTTCCGAGTCCCCGATGGACCCCGGCTTCACCACATGTCCTTTATAGGCATTTATTCATCCTTTCTGTCAACAGATAGGATTAAACCCTGAAGATACTGCCCCAACCAAGTCTTCAAATCCCTGCCCACCTGGGGCAGAGAAGACTGACAAAAACCCAATAAATATCTAATGCAGTTCAGCCACTGCATAAATATATATAATACCATGCAAATGGCACAGAAAATCCAAATAGTAAGAGGAGATTGCAGAGGGATGGTGTGTGGAGGGGGTGGGCCCTCTGGAGCGGGCGTCGTCAGGGAGGTGTCTCTAAGGGGTGACTTTTTCGGCGACACCTGAAAGCAGTGAGAGAGGAAGCCTGGGTCTGGGAGAAGGAACAGCAAGTGCAAAGGTCCTGGGGTTAGATGGGACCAGAGAAACCAAGAGAGGAGAAATCATCTAGGAACTTGTGCACTTGCGTGCATGAGAGTCTCGTAGTTGTTGTTGTTGTTTGGTACTGGAAATTGAACTTGGGACCTTGTGCTTGCGAGGTAGGCGGCGGCCCCACTGAGCTAACTCCCCGGCCCTGGTTGTCTCCTCTTGGGTATGGGAGATATGCTCCAAGATCTCCAGGATGTTCCAGAAACTAGGAACAAAGCGAACCCTATTCGACCTGAAAAAGCTAAGAAACAGGCGTAGTGCAAAGCGCGTGTCATCCTGGCACTCGAGAGGCTGAGGCAGGAGGATCCCTGTGAGTTCAAGGCCCGTATGAGCTAAAAAGTGAGCTCAGGACCAGCCAGGAAAACATAGTGAGACCCTGTCACAAAAATAAAACGAAGAAACCCCATCTTGTGTACTTCTGCCTGAATTCCTAGGGCATCGCTATTGAGGGCTAACATGCTGGTCTTCCCGGACTCCTTCAAATCATGTAATCCCGGGTGCAGGGAAGCAAACTGGAAATCTTGAGTCCCATAGTAGTTTAGGGAAGGAGCCGGGTTGGGACTAGGCCTTGGACTAAGGAGCTGGAGCGACACCTAGTGGTGGGAGCGAGGTTGTGCAAGGGTTGTCTACGGGAAGGGGTGAGGGTGTGCACTTGGGCGCGCGGGCGCGCGCGCGCGCCTTCTCCAGCCAAGATAAACGCCGGCAAGGCATTCCACTCGAGTTCAGAATTTTTTTTGTTTTTGTTTTTGAGACAGGGTCTCACTATGTAGTTGAGACTGACCTGGAACTCACTGTGTAGCCCAGGCTGGTCTCGAACTCACAGCGATCCTCCTGCCTCAGCTTCCCCAGTGCTGGGATTACAGGCGTGCGCCACCACACCCGGCTCAAAACTATTTTCTTAATCAGAGGTAAAATACAGATAATATCAAGTGACTCTTAACCATGTTTAAGTGTACAATTCAGGCCAGGTGTGGCTGCACATGCTTGGAATCCTAGCACCACAGAGGCTGAGGCAAGGAGAATCATGAGTTCAAACTCAGCCTGGGCAATTTAGTGACTTAATGAGATCTTGTCTCAAATAGAAAAAGGGCTGGGGTTGTATCTCACTGCTAAGGCCTTGGGTACCACACACAGACACACAGAGACACACACACACACACACACACACACAGTGTACAGTTCAGTAATGTTAGGAAAACTTGCACTATTTTGTAGCCAGTCCCTGGAACTCTTCTCATACAAAACTGAAAGTCTGTAGCTGTTAAACAGCTTTCGGTATTTTTTTTTTAATTTACTTTTTGTTTGGTTGGTTTTTGAGATGGGGTCTCGCTACGTAGTTCAGCTGGCCTTGAACTCACTACGTCGCCCGGGCTGGCCATGACTTGCAGTGATTGTCCTGCCTCAGCCTCCCGAGTGCGGGGTGACTGGCCTGTGCCACCTCGCCCACCATACTGCTTTCCGCAGCTGCCCCATCAGGTTAGTTACATCCCCACCAGCAGTGAACAGGACTCCAGTTTTTCTGAATCTTCTCTACCCCTTGTCATTCTCTGTCCAAAAGCCTCTGGCCACAACCTTTTTGTCAACTGAATAATGGATAGCTTCGCTTTATGTGTATTTATTTTTTGAAACACCGCATGTAAACAAACGACTTGATCTGTTAATATCAAACTCACGACCAACAGCATTATAACTCACGGCCAGTCTTTATCTCAA